TGCACCCATCAACTCGTCAGCACCCATCAACTCGTCATTTACATCAGGTATAACTCCCAATGCAATCCCTCCTCCCTCCCCCCTCCCCATGATCGGCCCCGGTGTCTGATGTTCCCCTTCCCGAGTCCAAGTGATCTCATTGTTCAGTTCCCACCTATGAGCGAGAACATGCGGTGTTTGGTTTTCTGTTCTTGTGACAGTTTGCTAAGAATGATGGTTTCCAGCTGCATCCATGTCCCTACAAAGGACACAAACTCATCCTTTTTTATGGCTGCATAGTATTCCATGGTGTATATGTGCACATTTTCTTAATCCAGTCTGTCACTGATGGACATTTGGGTTGATTCCAAGTCAACCCAAATTTGCTATTGTGAATAGTGCCACAATAAACATACGTGTGCATGTGTCTTTATAGCAGCATGATTTATAATCCTTTGAGTATATACCCAGTAATGGGATGGCTGGGTCATATGGTACATCTAGTTCTAGATCTTTGAGGAATTGCCATACTGTTTTCCATAATGGCTGAACTAGTTTACAATCCCACCAACAGTGTAAAAGTGTTCCTATTTCTCCACATCCTCTCCAGCACCTGTTGTTTCCTGACTTTTTAATGATCGCCATTCTAACTGGTGTGAGATGGTATCTCATTGTGGTTTTGATTTGCATTTCTCTGATGGCCAGTGATGATGAGCATTTTTTCATGATGGATTAGAGACTTAAATGTTAGACCTAATACCATAAAAACCCTAGAAGAAAACCTAGGTAGTACCATTCAGGACATAGGCATGGGCAAAGACTTCATGTGTAAAACACCAAAAGCAACGGCAGCAAAAGCCAAAATTGACAAATGGGATCTCATTAAACTAAAGAGCTTCTGCACAGCAAAAGAAACTACCATCAGAGTGAACAGGCAACCTACAGAATGGGAGAACATTTTTGCAATCTACTCATCCGACAAAGGGCTAATATCCAGAACCTACAAAGAACTCAAACAAATTTACAAGAAAAAAACAAACAACCCCATCAAAAAGTGGGCAAAGGATATGAACAGACATTTCTCAAAAGAAGACATTCATACAGCCAACAGACACATGAAAAAATGGTCAACTTCATTCTTTTGACATGAATATCTGGTTTGTGGAAAAGACTGTCTTTTTGTGGAAGCACCGTGTTTGGAAAAGACTGCCTTTTTCCCAGGAAATAGTATTGGCAACTTTGCTGAAAGTTATTTCACCATATAGCAAGGATTTAATTCCAGTCTCTCAATTCTATACCATTGGTCTGCATGTCTGCTTTACACCAGTATATCACTCTTTTGATTGCCATAGCTTTATAGTAAGTTTTGAAATCAGGAAGTGTGAGACTTCCAAATTTATTATCCTTTTTCTTAATTATTTTGGATATGTGTGGTCCCTTGTATTCCTATGATTTTTAAGATAGGGTTTTCTATTTTGCAACAATAACCTCATAAGTGTTATGGGAATTTGATAAGAACTGCAGATTGCATTGAAGGTGTAGATCACTTTAGGTATTACTTTCATCTCAATAATATTGTCTTCTGAGCGGGCATGGTGGCTCATGCCTGTAATCCCAGCACTTTGGGAGGCTGAGGCAGGCGAATCACTTGAGGTCAGGAGTTTGAGATCAGTCTGGACAACATAGTGAAACCCCGTTTCTACTAAACATACAAAAATTAGCTGAGCATGGTGGCATGTGCCCATAATCCCAGCTACTAGGGAGACTAAGTCAGGAGAATTGCTTGAACCTGGGAGGCGGAGGTTGCAGTGAGCCGAGATTGTGCCACTGCACAGCCTGGGCAACAGAGCGAGACTCAATCTCAAAAAAAAAAAAAAAAAAAAAAAAAAAAAAGTTGTCTTCTAATCTATGAACATGAGATATCTTTCCATTTATTTATATCTTCTTAATTGTTTTCAGCATTATATGGTAGTTTTCAGTATACAAGTCTTTTGCCTTTTGCCTTCTTGGTTAAATTTATTCCGAAATATTTTGTTCTTTTGATGCCATTATAAATGGAACTGTTTTCTTAATTCTTTTTAGATAGCTCACTACCAGTGCATAGATAGGTAACCAATTTTTGTGTGTTCATTTTGTATCCTGCAACTTTGCTAAATTTGTTTATTAGATCTAACAGTTGTTTTGTGGAATCATTAGGGTTTTCTTCATATAAGATAATGTCACCTCTTGGCAGATAATTTTATTTCTTCCTTTCCAGTTTGGATGTTATCTATCTATCATCTACCTATCTTCTATTCTAACTGGTCCAAATAGATTTTGAATACTATTTTGACTAGAAGTTATCTAAACAGGTATCCTTGTATTGCTCCTGATCTTAAGGAAAACATTTTCAATCTTTCACCATTGAATATTATGTTAGTTGTGGATTTTTTGTATTTGGCTTTTCATCATGATGTGGAAAGGCTCTATTCCTAGCTTGTTTACTGTTTTTACATGAAAGTCTATTGAATTTGGTCAAATGCTTTCTCTGCATCAACTAAGAGGATCCAGTGGGGTTTTTTGTTGTTAATTCTGTTAACATGGTATATCACACTAATTGACTTTTGTCTATTGAATTATCCTTGCATTTGAGAAGTAAAACTCATAAATTCACATTGTATAATTTTTATATGCTGCTAAATTTTATTTGCTAATATTTTGTTGAAGATTTTGCATCATTATTCATAAGGGATATTGGTCTGTCATTTGCTTTCTTATAGCATTTCTGATTTTAGTATCAGGATAATGCTGTCCTCATAGAATGAGTTAGGAAGTATTCCCTCCTCTTCAGTTTTCTGAAAGAACTTGAGGATTAGTTTTAATTCTTCTTCAAATATTTGGTAATATTCACCCATAATGTCGTCTGGTCCTGGATTTTTCTTTGTTGGAAAATTTTAATTAGGATTCAGTATTCATCTTAATTAGGGGTCTATTTATAGATTTCTTCATAAGTCAGTTCTGGTAGACTGTATATTTCTATCAATTTGTTCATTTCCTCTAGGTTATCCAGTTTTTCGTGTACAGTTGTTCACAGTGTTGTCTTACAATGCTTTTTATTCTTTTAAAATTGGTTGTAATGTTCCCACTTTCTGTTTTGATTTTTAGCAATTTGAGTATTATTTTTCCATAGTCAATCTAGCTAAAGTTTTGTCATTTTTGTTCATCTAAAGTGCATCTTTTGTTAGCAGCATATAGTTGATCATTAAAAAAAAATCCATTCTGTAAATTTCTGCCTTTTGAATGAAGAGTTTTGTCAATTTAGATTTAAAATAATTACTGATAAGGAAAGACATTTCTGCCATTTTGATACCTATTTTTTGTATGTTATACTTTTTGCCCTTCATTTCCTCTAATTCCATCTTTTTTGTGTTTAGTTGACTTTTTGTAGGGACATGTTTTGATTCCTTTCTCTTTTCTTCATGCATGCATCATAGATATTTTCTTTGTGATTACCAAGCAAATAATATATAATGTCTTAAAGTTATAATAATTTAATTTGAATTGATACCAACTCAACTTCAATGCATCCAAAAAGTATACTCTTAGGCAGCACCCTCTAACTTATCCTTGTTATTAACATCACAAATCATGTCTTTATACATTGTGTGTCCATAACATAAATTTGTAATCATTTTTATGTATTTGTCTTTTGAGTATTATAGATATAAAGAATAGAGTTACAAGCCAAAATTATAATAATGATGGCTTTTATATCTGCCAATGGACTTATCTTTGCCAGAGATCTTTATTTCCTCATGTGGTTGAAGTTACTGTATAGCATTCTTTCATTTTAACCTGAAGAATTCCCTTTAGAAGGCTTTTTGTCTGTTTGCTTTTTTGACAGGGTCTTGTTCTGTCACCAGGCTGGAGTGCAGTGGTGTGATCTCGGCTCACTGAAACCTCCTCCTCCTAGGTTCAAGTGATTCCCCTGCCTCAGTCTCCTGAGTAGCTGGGACTATAGGCATGTGTCACCACGCCAAGCTAATTTTTTATATTTTAGTAGAGACGGTGTTTCACCATTTTGGCCAGGATGGTCTTGATCTCCTGACCTCGTGATCCACCTGCCTCGGCCTCCCAGAGTGCTTGGATTACAGGGGTGAACCACCGTGCCCAGTCTAGAAGTTTTAATAGGGCAGGTCTACTATTAATGCCATGATTGCCAGGAGATTTTCATATTGGCTTTTGCTGGAGCACTCTTTTGACAATTCCACAAAACTTTCTTACCATTTTGAAGATAGACTTTTCTTAATTAGGTATTCTCTTGGATGCTATAAATCTGTGACTATTTTCTGGAGCTCTGACAAAGTTGGTTCTGATAGATTATTCTAATTTTTTTCAATGTTTCTGTCAGAGAATGAGAGTTTGGATGTTTTCAGTTTGCCATTTTGCTCATGTTTGCCTGTTGCCTTTAAGGAGTGATTTGAAAGCTACCAGAGAACATTTTGGTTATATCTTATTAGAAAATAGTCACTTAACCACACTACCACTAGCTTTCACACATACTCTAGCTTCTTCCCCATTCTGATGATCTTTTTCACCATTTGACATTGCCAATTTAATAATAAGCACATCACAAGGCAGCCATATTGTCTATATGGTACTAGTTCCATTTGTCTTTCCATCTTGCTATACAAAAGATGGTATAAGAAATGACAACTATGTCCTCAAGGAGCTGTTCATATAGCATCTAGTTTATGTTATGAAAATTCACAGTAGTGGAAAGCCTATATGTATTTTGTTTCATGAGTAGGTAAAGGGAAATATATGAAACATTACAAAATTAATGTTGTCTAGTGGAGTAAAAACACGTAATTTAAATATACACTTAATTGACATGTAGACAGATTGAGTAGAATGAACTTATTAAGTTGAGAAAGACTACTCCTTCTTTGAATTTCCTGTTTTTTAACAGAACTATACAGTTGAAATATTTTAATTCTTAGATTGTGTTCTACTATATCCAAACATAAATCTGTACTTACCGACCACTTTGTTTAAATCCAATCGAATTATTAGGTCGCTAATTGATGGGTACACTGCTGGAAGATTTTCTGCTGTATTTGGAAGTTCTGAAGCTGCTTCATTTGTAACTGTAAGAATAACAGATTGACAAAGTCATTGATTTAAAAAACTAACATTTTGTGAAACACCTAGGAATGCATGTAACCAAGAAGGTGAAAGATCTCTACAAGGAGAACTGCAAAAACACTGCTGAAAGAAATCAGAAATGGCACAAATAAATGAAAAAACAGTCCCTGCTCATGGATTGAGAGAATCAATGTCATTAAATGGCCATACTGTCCAAAGCAATTTACTGGTTCAATGGAGTCCTATCAAACTACCAATGTCATTTTTAACAGAATTAGGAGAAGCTATTCTAAAATTCATGTGAAGCAAAAAAAGAAGCCTAATAGCCAAAGCCATCCTAAACAAAAAGAACAAAGCTGAAGGCATCATACTACCTGACTTGAAACTATTTTACAGGGCTACAGTAACCAAAAGAGCATTGTACTGGTACGAAAACAGGCACATAGACCAACAGAACAGAGTAGAGAACCCAGAAATAAAGCCACATACCTACAATCATCTGATCTTCGAGAAACCCAGAAAAAATAAGCAATAGGGACTCCCTATTCAATAAATGATGCTGGGATAGCTGGCAAGCCATATGCAGAAGAACGAAATTGGACCCCTGCTTTTTACCATATACAAAATTTGATCAAGAAGGATTAAAGATTTAAATGTAAGACTTCAAACTATAACAATCCTAGAAGAAAACCTAGTAAATACCCTTCTCAATATCAGCCTTAGCAAAGAATGTATGGCTATGTCTTCAAAAGCAATTGCAACAAAAACAGAAATTGACAAATGGGATCTAGTTAAACTAAAAATCTTTTGCACAGCAAAAGGAACTACCAACAGAGCAGACAACCTACAGAATAAAAGAAAAATATTCATGAACTATGCATCTAACAAAGGTCTAGAATCTATAAGGAACTTAAACCAGCAAGCAAAAAACAAATCACTCCATTATAAAGTGGGGCAAAGGACATAAACAGAAATGTCTCAAAAGAAGATATACGAGTGGCCAAGAAACATATGAAAAAATGCTCCACACCACTAATCATCAGAGAAATGCAATTTAAAACCACAATGAGATACCATCTCACACCAGTCAGAATGGCTATTTTTATTATTTTGAGACGGAGTCTCACTCTGTCACCCAGGCTGGAGTGCAGTGGCACGATCTTGGCTCACTGCAACCTCCACCTCCAGGTTCAAGTGATTCTCCTGTCTCAGCCTCTGGAGTAGCTGGGATTACAGGCACACGCCACCATACCTGTCTAATTTGTGTGTGTGTGTGTGTGTGTGTGTGTGTGTGTGTGTGTGTGTGTGTGTGTTCTTTTTTAGTAGAGACAGGATTTCACCATGTTGGCCTGGCTGGTTTTGAACTCCTGACCTCAAGTGATCCACCCACCTTGGCCTCCCAAAGTGCTGGGATTACAGGTATGAGCCACCACACCTGGCTCAGAATGGCTATTACTAAAAAATAAAAACAGATGGCAAGTCTGTGGAGAAAAGGGGACACATACACACTGTTGGTGGGAATGTAAACTAGTCTAAACAATGGAGAGCAATTTGGAAATTTCTCAAAGAAAGAGTTGAAATACCATTTGACTCAGCAATCCATTCCTGGCTATATACCCAAAGGAAAATAAATTGTTCTACCAAATGGACACATGCATCCATACATTCACCACAGTGCCATTCATAATAGCAAAGACACAGAATCAACAGTAGGTGCTCATCAATGGTGAACTGGATATAGAAAATGTGGTACCTATATACCATGGAATAATATATAACCATTAAAAAGAACAAAATCATGTCTCCAGCTGCAACATGGATGCAGCTGGAGGCCATTATCCAGAGGGAGCTAATGCAGAAACAGAAAACCAAATACCGCATCTCTTCCTTTATATGTGGGAGATAAACATTGGGTACACATGGACATAAAGATGGGAACCATAGACACTGTGGAATACTAAAAGGGGGAGGAAGTAGGGGTAAAATGATCTCTTGGGTATTATGCTATCTGGGTGACGCGTTCAGTCATACCCCAGACTTCAGCATCACACAATATACTTTTGTAACAAATCTGCATGTGTACCAGCTGCTTCTAAGGTAGAAGCTGAAAAAGTAAAAAAAGTACATACAGTAAAAAACAACAAAAACCCTAACATTTTGTATGAGGCAGAAGTATAGTACCTAGTACTAATTAGAGATATTTTACCTCCCAATCATCTAATCATCTAACCTTATTTACTTTGCAATTTAACATGCTAATTATTCAAGTGAATACAAATATGTTAAATAATTTCAAATTCATACAAAATAGCTACTATATGCCACCTTTTATACTAAGTACTTTTGAAGTATTATCTCATTTAACCATTATAATAATTGAAGAAAATAAGTATTTTATCTCCATTTAACAGATGACGGAAATAGAACTTATTGATATTATGCATATTGTGGAAGGCCACATAGTTATTAAATATAAAAGCCTGGAATGAATTGATTCTTTTAGTTTCCGAAATCTGTTCTCCAACTAATAAACTCAAATATCTACTGAGACTGAGTATGTAATATGAGTGTTATGAGCCTGGTGATGATAGGGATGGCATAAAGAGCAAGGTGAAATGGAGAGTACCTGTTTTATTTAATAAAAAAAAACCATTATTCTTACCACTACAAATGCATAACAGATATTCTCAGGTGTTCTAAATTCCCCAAAGAAGCTAGAAATCTTGATATTTACAATAATTTTCAAAATTTCAAAATATTTGCAGATAGTTTAAGACTTCTATATTCATGTTTGAAGGACAAATCTTCAGCTAGTACTACAAGAAAATTATCTGTCTTTAGAAAAGGATTAATTCTAATATATGGGTGCAATTTAAGGGCCAATCACTGGTATATTTCCTTGGAAAATATGATCATTTACCCACCAATGTATCTCTCTCTGATCTAGGACGATGGAATAGCAATTTCGGATTACATAGTATATATGTTTATTCCTCACCAGATCACTTTGGACATCTAGAGCATTATGGTTTTTTTCTAAAAACAGATAGTTACTATAGGTATTTAAACTGTGTTCTTAGTAATCTTCAAAGTACTCAAAGTCAGAAAGTCATATAGTAATCTTACAAAATCTCTGGTTATTTTCTATTTTTAAATCCTTAAGAAGATGACAGAATAAAGCTCCCCTTTGCCCTCATTTTTCCTATAAAACCCCCAGAAACAAAAGAAAAAAAGTAAGAATATTTCCATAGCCCCCGATACTAAAAGTACTGTCATGAAATCTGGCACAAGGCTTTGGAGAATACTAAGAGATAATAGTCATGCTGTCTTGAACCTATAACAGTACACAGGTTTTCCTCCAAAGTGTCATCACTGAAAGGCATGCCTAATATGCCTTTATAGTGGTAATCATATTTAGGGTGCTAAGAAAGAAGAGTTGAAGAAGAAACTACACTGATGGACCATTTCTATTGCTTGAAACAGAGATTCCTAATAGAAGTTAGGGATGCTGACAGTAAAAACAGCTAAAAATAGAGGGAGGAAGATAGTGCCAAACTGCAACAGACAAAAGACACATATGTGAGTTGCAATAGCTTCTTTAACAACAACAAAAAAAGATTTAATAATATGACACCAAGCCTGGACAGAATCTATCAATTTTCCCACAAAATCTCGTCCTCCGTCAATCTACCCCACATATACATTCCACTAATCACTTTACTATTTAGAAGGTCCCATTCAAAAATTAATAATAATCCAACCAGCATGAGAAGCAAGCACAGAAACTGCAACAATCACAAAGAAACCTAAAAGATAAATAACCAGGAAAATCACAGAGTGATGTAAGTAAGATGGCAGAATAGAACATCTCCCAGCATCACTTCCCCTAGAAAAAAAATACAACTAGAAATTATTCAAAGACAAGAATACTACCCTGAATTCACCAAAATTCAAGGGAGAAGTGGAGAAACTTCTAGGAGACACAGAATCAAGAAAACCTGATACTGGTAAGATGAATAATCACTTTAAAGCAGACCTAACACCACTCACAGAATTTCCCTAGACACATGGTTCCCAGGGTGGGAGGAGGAAATTGGAGGTGAATGTTCAATCTCCCAGCTGGTTATAGAATCTTCACAGGAAGCTCACTCCAGTCTTGTCTCATGGAACATTTAAATTGCTGGGAGGACTGAACCACCTGGGATGAACTGTGGTCAAAAAGGGAAGGTTCTAATTACATTGACTGGCATGTGAATTTTTGTAGGCGTTCTGTGCTCCAATTAGTGAAGATATCACATTGAGTAAAGTGGATGGCCCACAGTCCTGAAGAAGACACAATACACAGGAAGGACCAAATTCCTGGCTGGATTTCCCACAAAGTCCACATATTCATGTGAAGCCTTCTCCTGACCTGGAAACATCTACATGTTTGGCATTTAAGTTCTGGTGCTCACTTAAAAATACAAACTATTTCTATTAATAGTTTTTGTAACTGAAGAACAATGGCAGGGCAGCAACATAGTTCTGAAGCAGTGTTGAAGTTACAGGGCTCACTATAAGTCTTCCACAGACTGGAAAACAACAGGGCAGTGATTTATTTCCAGTGCACCATTTAATTTCCAGTTCTCACTCTAAGTCTTGCCCAGACTGAGAAGCAAGAGCAGACCAGTGATTAAGTTCTAATATTAAGCAGTAAAGGCCTAACACTGTCAAAAACACCTGCAAAAGCTCAATGTGCAGACATCAACATAAAAATGCAAGACTTGTAAAAACTCAGGAAAATATGACACCACCAAAAAAGAGCAAAAAACTTTCAGTAATGGATTCAGAAAAACTGAAGATCTATAAAATGATTGACAAATAATTCAGAATAATCTTATTTTAAAAGTTAAAGGAATTACAAAAAAATACAGATAGAAAACTAAATGAAACTTGGAAAACAATTCAGGAACAAAGTTAGAAATTTAACCAAGAAATAGAAACAATTTTTTAAGACCAAAGA